ATAATTTGTATTTTGGATATAAAAACGAACACCCCTTCAGAAATATCAAATTGAAAGCTGAAAATGGGAAAACTGTGGTACATGTCCGAAAAGATGTCAGTTTTGAAAGAAATAGAGTGAATTTCATCGAAGTCCAAATTGGTGAGGAAATATCACATATACCAATGATAACTGACTGCGACATAGACCTGAAAGTAGGAGATTGTATTGGAGAAATACGAGGAAACAATGAACGTTTTGTTGAATCGAAGGTACAAGTGAATAATACCCATCACTTTAGATATGATTAATGTCGATGAAAGCGAATCGCTTGGTGACAGGCATTCACTTTTATAACTGATAACTGAATTTCGTGAATGTTTTGCAATCAATATACACGACTTAGGTTGCACAGACTTGATGACCGTGAAAATTGAAGACTCTGGTACACCTGTCAGAATGAAACCTCATCGTGCTAACTTCACTGATTCAATTATAAATGATATCGTCGAAGAATGGCGGAAGTGCGGTATTATTCGCGACACAAACTCTCCTTATGCTCCACCAGTTTTACTAGTATCTAAATCGTCGGGCGAGAAAAGGCTAGTGATAAACTTTAGAAAATTGAACTCTGAAACTGTATTGGAAAATTTTCCAATTCCGTATATTGACGATTGTTTTGAATTACTTGCTGGAAGTAAATTGTTTTGTACATTAGATGTTATGTCAGGCTATTTGCAAATGCCTCTAGATGAACAATCAAAACATAAAACTGCATTTATTTATCCAAACGGCACTGCAGAATTTGAAAGAATGTGTTACGGTTTGGTTAATGCACCATTTGAATTTTCGAGACTCATGACTTTGGCGTCAGGTCCCCTAAGAAACACGATCGCAGTATCATATTTGGACGATATTTTGATCGGAGCAGTGAGTTGGTTGGATATGCTTGACAAACTTCGCAAAGTGTTTACTGCTATATCTAAGGCAAAACTAACTTTCAAATTGTCTAAATGTGAATTTGGAAAGAAATCTGTGAAATGTTTGGGTTTTCAACTAACAGAAAAAGGTTTATTACCTGGTGCTCAGAAACTTGAAGCTGTAAATAATTTTTCAGTTCCAATAAATAAGCATGAAATAAGACGTTTTTTAGGTCTAACAGGATTTTTTCGTAGGTTCATCAAAAATTATGCAATAATAACTAGACCTTTGACGGAGTTGACCAAAAGTTGTAACACTTTCTTGTGGAAAATTGAACAACAAAATGCTTTCGATAACTTGAAAGATTTATTGCAGAAAGCTCCTATCCTACAATTATACAATCCAAAGGCTGAAACCGAGTTGCACTGTGATGCATCAAGTCTTGGTGTTGCAGGCATATTGTTACAAAAAGGCCCGGATGATAAAATGCATCTTGTATATTATTTATCTAAGAAGAACATACCATTCGTCAAAGCTTGAATTACTAGCTATTGTTTGCTGTGTGGAACGACTGAGACCATTACCAGTTCACCATTGTGAGTGACTGCCACAGGCTCTAGTCTATTTGAACTCGAAGAAAACAGTGTTACCACAGATTGCTAGGTGGTATTCAACGTTATCTGAGTATTCATTCGAAATTAAACATAGAAGTGGAGACAAAATGTCCCATGTAGATAGTTTTAGTCGTGATCCAGTAGAAAATGCATCAGATGATGGAATGATTGAGGAAGTTTATGCAAAGAGAATTAATATGTTCATGATAATTCCTGAAGATGAAAACATTTTATTGATCCAGAAATGCGACCAAAAACTAAACCAAATTGTTGAAATCTTAAGCAAAGATGAAGAAGAAAGAACTTCAGAAGAGAATAATTTGCGTAAGGAATATGAAATCGACACAGGAAGACTGTATAAGAAGGTTGAAGTAAACAACGAAACGAACCATTTATTTATCCCCGATTCAATTAGAAAGGCAACAGTTGTAAAATATCATGATCAAATGGGACACTGGTCATTGGATCGTACTGTATCAGCCATATTACTAAAATTTTGGTTCAGGGGTATGAGAAGATATGTGAAGAAGCACATACAAGGCTGTTTCGAATGTTTATTAGTAAAGGTTCCCGGTGGAAAGAAGCCAGGAATATTGCACCCACCAAAAATTCCAGACAGACCAATGATTAAGTTGCATATCGATCACCTTGGTTGATGCTTTTCCAAGATTCATAAAACTTTATGCACAGAGAAGTACATAATCAGAGGAAACAATCACAAAAATTAAACTTTTCATAAACGATTACGGTGTACCCAGAGTCATTGTAAGCGACAGGGGAAGTGCTTTCACGAGCAACGAGTTCACTGAGTTTTGTTAACATTATGATATTGAACATAAGCTCATCGCTGCACAATTTCCACAAGCAAATGGTATGGCAGAGAGTAAAATGAAACCAATTGTACCCTGTATTGTTACTTCAATTGATTTTGAAGAAGACAAATGGGACAAAACATTGATTGCAGTGGAAAAGAAAATGAATAATGCTGTAAATGAAACAACATGCTTTACCCCTTGCGAATGTCTGTACGGATTTCAACCCAGATTTGAAGACGCTGCTATGGTTGATTTGGTAGAGGAGGATGGTAAACCGAATGATCATGAAGAAATAAGGAGAACAGTTAAAGAAAACGTTAAAGTCAAAAAAAATATAAGATATATTTATTGATAAAAAGCGGTTTGAGTCAAGTTCTAACTGGGAGATATAGTAGCCGTTAGAAAACCACACATTTCCATTGGACAACCAACAAAAACTCAAATGAAATATCGTGGACCATTTGTGGTAATAGAAATTTTACAAGGTGATACATACAGGTTAGAGAAACTCAATAAACAAGACAGTTGTTCGAGTTCAATCACAGTAGCACATGTAACACAAATGAAAATATATCGTAATCATGAAGAAAATGATGATTCGCGAGAAAAGATGAAGAAAACGAATTTGTTATTGAGAAAATTGGAGAAGACAGAGAGAATAAAATTTACTTATCGAGTGATGATGGAAGACTGGATTCCTGATTCCCAAGAAAGAGTGGAAGAAAATGTAATGACTAATGACAAACCTAAACGGAGAACAAGAAAACCAAAGAAATTAGATGATTATGTTTGAGGACAAACATACATTCAGGATGGCCGAATGTTGTGATTTATTTATTATTTTGGCTTACTATATAGAGGTTTTGGAGAGCAACGTCATATTTTGAGAGATGTCATAGAGATTGTTTTCGTTTTTTAATTAAATTAATTTTATTCTATCCTTGTAATTTTCATATACTGAAGTTGAATTGAACTTCGAACAATTTCTACACACCCAGCACCAGTAACCGAAAATCTTGACCGATATTTCCAAAATTACTATCATTATTTTCTTTCATTGTTCCAAGCATATGTTTTTGTGGAATATCACTCATATTTATTCATTTATATTTCATTTCATGATATAATACTATGTAAATTATGTACAAAAATATCATCATTATGTATTATATGATTAACTGTGTCATTTGTACTTTTGAATAAATATATTATTATTATATATTATTATTTATCTATCTATATTGATATGAATGTGAAAGTTCACGAAGGTTTTGTGTAATTTTGGACATAATATACCGATAAATATAAAGTAAGTCGGAAAATGTCTTTCTCTCTGAGTGCATATGATTAACTCTATCATTTGTTCTAGTGAATAAATATATTATTATATATTATTATTATTTATTTATCTATACTGATATAAATGTGAAAGTTTGTTAGGATGAATGTATGTATGTATGTTTGTGACTCTTTCACACCTAAAAGACTGAACGAATTCAGATGAAACTCTACATTAATATAGCTTATACATCAGAATAACATATAGGCTACAGTTCACGAAGGTTTTGTGTAATTTTGGACATAATATAACGATAAGTATAAAGTAAGTCGGAAAATATCTTTCTCTCTGAGTGCTATCTTCGCGTGCGCTGCATTTACCGTTGGAGTTACATGCAGATAATGTACCGCAAAATTGTTTATTTTAAATAGTTCTAAATAAAAGTCTGTGATAGCATATATCAACCTCTTTAGTGGTAGCCAATATATGCAAAATACCGCGTTCAAAATACAATTGAACTGGATACTTTTTTTACAATGCACATTTTAGAATATATGTCAAACCTTATGAAAATTGATACAATTGTCATTTAAAATATTTAATATAGATAAACTTCTTCTTTTAGACTAAGCAATTTGGACGAATCGTTCAAAAGTTATCAGAAGATTAACTTGACGCAACGCAATAAGCCATTACGCGTCGCGTCTAATGAAAGAGGACGGGGGACGATGCGGGGACTAGAAGGGCGGTCTAAGTAATGAAACGCCATCGCCAAGAACGCGGGCAGATGTCGTTGACGGTTGGGTTAGTTTTGCGAATTTCTTTATAGATAACATAATTCGATTTTTGAAGCTATTTATTACTTAGTGCAGTTGGCATATTTTTTCAGTAACTGTATTTTTTAAAGAAAATTTTTTAAATTACTAGCTATTGCCCGCTCCTAAATTAACTTACATCCGAAGCTACTGAACCTAGAATCTTGAAATATGCAGGTAGGTTCTTTGTAAAGCGTAAATAATCATCAAGATAGGGAATCAGGAATTTTCACCCTATGGGGGACAAATTGAGGTTTAAAGATTGTATTGAATTTCGTCAGTTTTGAAGTTGGAATCCTGAAGTTTTGGGTTGATAAAAAAATATTGTAACTATTTGTTCAAAATGGTCTGACACGAATCTTTTTGTGACAAAAATCAAATTCTACGCGGTCGGAGCCGTGGGCAACAACTAGTGTCCAATAAAATGTTGAAGCTTTTGATCAATGAACTCATTCATTTGGAGTTGGTGAAATATTGACTCATTCGTTATGATACTTTCAAATGATGATATTTGTATACCAAACTTTTTTGGAAATAATGTGACTATTTACTTCCAATACCATTTTTATGATTTCAGATCTAGAGAAAATAGGTTAAGAGTAGTGAAAGAAACTATTTTGCAATATCTAGGAAGGAACATGTCTTTAGCACCAATTCCTGCAAATATTTCCATAGCTCCGTTCAACGTTTCCGAAATTGTGCCTACATTTTTTGACGCATCAGTAATATCCAGTGATGATCAAGTTAGTGAGAAAATAAGAAGTTTTTATCCTTCGTGTGAGTTCAATTTTACTTCATCTTGTATATATGGGAATACTGGGGAATACAGACATTCACTCAAAACATAAAGGAGTACAAATAAAATAATTCTGTTGAAATCTGTTGATCACATCTGATGAGACATAGTTCTTTCAACCAAAATTCTTTAAAAATTTATGAAAATTTTCACTATCAAAATTGTTTGGTAGGTAGGTAATATTCTTACCATTCTCGAGCCAAGAATCGCCCATTTCAATCTCGTATTCTCAGCTCGCACAAGTTTCGACATTTAAAGGTTGTTGTTATTCGTATTTTTAAATGTGTCTGAAACTTTATTTGTTTTTCTTTTCCATACTATATTCTTATTGAAATGCTTCTTCAAGGGTGAGTGTTTTTAATTTTCAAAGTTGCCAACAATGATCTTCATCCTCCAGTTATTTTCATTCAAACGGTAATCTGAATTAGAGTTAAGCTCAAAATTCCGCCATGATTCTGGGTATTGTTCTTTTGCAAAACATTCAATATATAGAAAATGAAAAGTTCCTGTCATAAATAATAATGTTTTCTTGGTTACTTCAATATAAACAACTAATGTCAATACTGTTCCAAAATCATTTATCACACGTCGTCGAACATTTGATTTATGAGACTACACAAATATTTGGGAAAAAAGTTTTTTTGGCTTCTTACTCATCAATCTTTATACAAAACATTGTGGGAAACTTCCTATGAATGATATCTGATTTTCACAACGATATCTGAAGTACTAACTGAAAAAAAGGTGATTTTCGTTTAATTCAATGTTCATATGAAAGTATTTGTTCTAAAGTACTTTTTCTTTGTGTATGTTAGTGTGGAAGTAGTTATTTCGGGATTACTTTTTCAACTTTGTATCTTTAAGTAACTCATAAGCATAATCCACACATTTTCGTAAAAAGTTTATTTTGAACTTGATTGATTTCTTCCTTCCTTCGAAGGTTCTCCACAATTTTTTGTTAAGAGACGAAGTGAAAAGCCAAAAGCCTCTGCCCCAAAAATTGATCTTTTCTAATGTTGTTTTATATATTTTAAAAATATTCAGCTGAATATTAACTTTTTAGGTGATGTTCCTCCTAACGCAGACCAAGAACTATGGCGAGACGATGACGTCATGAATTTGTTTTTTACTTTCGACCATGTTCCAGATAATCGAAATACGAATATTGCCACTGCCATTTTGAGATTATATAGGATACCTGTCAACAATTCTAATGCAAATTCAAGATTGGATAATTGTGATACTCCAGCTGATGATGAAAAGTTGCTCAGAGTTTCTGTATATCGATATACAAAACCTTTGAAGAGGAGAAGAGGTACTTATTAGTTTGTTTAATTTTCGATCATGAACGCCATTTTATAAAATGTAATGGAATTTACCGATACTTGATGACAACCCATGATAAATGTATTCAAAAACACTTTATATTGTGAGATTCACATTAAACATTTTAGAAGACTGCAATACTATACGCTTTTCCATATGTATTCAATAATGAAAATGTTTGTGTAACACTTTATTGTTTGAAGTAGTTGGCAGTGTTTCTTAGTGAATGTTACAAGTTCAGGCTTCCGATATCTGAAAATACATTAACAGATTTGAAATATGAAACGCTGAAATTGTTTCAGAAAATTATTGAGACACCTGATGAATAAAATGAGTTTTCGAATGGAAAAAAATGAAATGAAAATCAAATAATGATTAAAATAGGGAAAAATAAGAATACATTTCCAAATCACCATCACAATGCGACGTTTCGTTTGCTAGTAAATGAAACGTATCGCGGTTTTGTATACTATCAAATGGAAAGTTCACAAAACAGTGTTATTAGAATATGTTCACATGGATTTTTATCAAGTATCGGCCAGTTCTATTATCATTTAAGAAAGTTGAAAATATCGGTTCAAAACAAGACAAAATAACAGTAACTCATGCATCTTAGAAAAAAATGTTTCTCAAACAAAGTTTGAAAAACAATCAAAACTTGATATTGTTTTGTATGTTTTTATTCAAATATTTGTTCCCATTTATAAACACAACTCATTCCTACAGACCAATGAATATTATTATTTCAGTAAAACGACTCTTATCTGATAGCAAAGTCATTCCTGTGAGTGCCAAATGGGTAGAGCTGAACGTAAAACCAGCTACCAGTGCTTGGACCAAAGGAAAAAACGCTGGTTTAGGAATTTTGGTAGAAGATCAAGAAGGAAATAGGCTGCGAGCAGACAAATTCTTCAAAGGAGCAACATGCACGGTTGGAGTGTGTGAGTTTGAATTAACAGTATTAACTCAAAGTTAGGCTGCATTTATCGAAGAAGAAATAGTTAATTTTTTCCCAATTTTAGACTATATCCTGACAATTTGATGTGTCGCCGCAATTCGTTGACGGACTTCTACTTTAGTTTCGAGATGGCCATGGCGTAACATTATTTTTGCAGAGTTAATATTTTGGCAATGAACATACCAGATCAACAGGTGTATTAGAATACAAGTCAAGGGGTCCTAAAAGTGTGTGATATTCATAGTTTTGAGATAGAAATTGCCATCAGTTTTAGATAGTATGTGTGAAAATATCAGAAAAGTGAAAACAATAATCCAAGTGGGGAAGTAATTTCCCGAAAGATTCAAGAGAAGTAAATAAAATGAATACTTGAAGATCTACTCTTGACTTTCAGTCAGTACTAGTAGATTCTTGGGTTATCAGCAGTTGTCCATCATCATTGATGTGTACCGCTGTTATAGGCGAAACGTCCGACATAAAAACTGAAAACCCAAAAACCGGACACTTCTACGGAGAATTATAGTTTCACAGTTTTTCAGTGAAAATCTTCAAAAAGTAATTTGATACTATTCACATACTAAATGAACATTCTATGAAAAAGTAACTAATTATTATGAAATGTCTGCCATATCAATAGTATTTGATGGCAAGTTCAACTATTTTTCACTCAGTTTCGAAAAAGCAGTCTAACATATGCTTCCAGTAGTTACTAAAAAATAATAATTTTTTTTGCCTGTTCACCATATTTTGCATGTTTTTTAATGTAGGCTTGCTTTGCCTTCAATATCATTTATTTGTCTTATAAACACTCAATGTTTTATCTTTGAAAACAAGCAATGTGCATTTGTTTCACAATACCTAATTATTTGAAATCATGTTTCCAACTTTTTACCATTGGTGAGGGTACTTGTTGAAAAGTGGCCAGTTTATAACAGTAAAATTCATCAAACTGGATTTTAAATTTGGTTTTGTATTGTTTTACCATGCGATTTTGTATAATGCAGTTTCAATAAGTTTTTCATTTCTATCAAAGTTGAACATCACATTGCGTTATAAAAAGTATACAGTCCGGAAGTGAAAAGTCACCACCTCCTAATTTTAAACAGAACAAGATATGATGAGGTGGTTTTGTGATACCTCGTTTCATAGGTATTTCAATTCTCAATCCAACCCTCTCTTACTTTTGGACATTCAATCATAAGAACTTGAGTAATTAGCAGTTTTTAATTGGTTTTAAGTATCTACAATTGATAAATATCGTAATTTCAAGAAAAACTATTTAAAACTCAATAAATGTTATGTTCACCATTCACTTCATGGCAATAATGAGGTTTGTATAAAAATTAATTTCTCACGTTACACAAATATTTACAAAAAATCTTAGAGTGTCATACCAGTTTCGTTAATTGTCTTCTGGCTACTTTCGAACCAGCCTGTCATAATAACGATGTGGCTCATCTTGCTGAAACTTGCTATCAGATATAACTAACTCAATGTTCATCACGATAACAGCACAGGGAGTAGTTGTTTTCCAGCAGGCATTTACCATTTACCTGTGTAGGAACGTTGGGAGAAGTGTTTTTTCGAAATGAAATTTCGAAATTGTTATTTCCTTAATAAGTATGTATCTCCCATTGATACAATCATCAGAATTGATTTAACATACTTTCGATTGTTATATTTACAAAAAGCATATGTTTCGAGACTTTTTCAATTCTTTAACTTCTATATTATATGTTCTATGTTCAATAGGCAATAAAAAGCCCATGTGGGAAGGGGCTTTTTATTGCCTATTGCTAGACCTGGATTATGACTGTATACTAGATTCCCCGTTCAAATACCAGTTCTACGCGTTGGTCGTTTTCGAAACAATGTGAATAAGTACTTCTATTACCATTATAGAATAGTAATTTGTACTATTTATATGTGTCAATACATCCCGAAGCCAGTTTGATACTTGCTCATTTCAGAAGATTCAAAAAAATCTTCAGTTTCAGTTTGATACTTGTATGCCACTTTCTAAGGAAGTGCCCCATGTGTAATGCTTAGATGCTAATCCTTATTCAGTGTGAATCGACTAACGTGTACTATAGTACATTCGGTATTGTCTGAGAGTGAAATAATTTCAAGAATGCAAACATGCCGGTACATCAAAGAAAGCAGGATAGTTGTCTCAAGCAATTCATCCACAAAGTCTCTGAGATATTTACACCCGGTATGCCCTTTGAGGAAACCACTAACGACCCATAGTGACTTGCGACAAACGAACGTCAAAACAGGCGGCCGACGATTTTGATCATATTTTGTTAAATTAATTCTCCAATGATATTATATTCTGTATTTTGCGAAGATCATTGAAATATCGTGGAAACTAATTTTGTTTTTTTTTATTAAGGATAGTTACCTTCTACAGATCTATAAAATAATCAGAATATTAGATTTGAAATAAATACAAATTTAGCAAGGGAAAAATTTACTGCATTTGATAAATCAGCTTTTTGACAAAAAAAATATGCAATTTGTCAGTAACATGAATTTATAAAATTTTGCATATAAAAATGAATATGTATCACCTGGTGACGTTTTAAAGACTATCAATTTTCTTTATTCAACCTATTCAAATCAAAACATAATTAGTAGTTATATTTCGTCTTTTGATGTAAATCAATTTGATGTTATTAATATTCACACTGATAATATCAAATTGATCGTAGATTTGATAATGAAGATAGAAAAAGTTTTCGAAACGTCACCAAATATTTCTGTTTTAAAAAAATCTGTTTTTCCGTTAACCAGCTGTCGCACCCCTACGAACGACCACCCTCAGAAGTCGAAATTTGTGCGAACTAAAGATTAACGAAGTCTTACTTTTTAACGTGTGATTCCTAACACAGGAAAAATACAAATAAAATAGATTTGCGCGGTTACAAATTTCAACATCTGAAAATTTCGGATTAAACCGTGCATTGTTCGACGTTTCGGCTTCAATTTTGAAGCCATTTTCCAGAAATAGTGTTGCTGCACTGACACACGCTTTGGGGTTTTGTGACTCGACGCCGGGGCCTGAATCAGGATTTGAAGCTTTATATCTTCTATTAATTATCTGCGAGCGCTTTCGACAGTTGGTCTCCTTTTGAGGAGTGCCAGAAGATGACAGTACTACCAACATGTGTCCAATAACCCAATTTTCTTGGGTTATTGGACACATGTTAAATTAAAATATACGAAAAGAAAGACTTCAATTAAACGTTTCGCCTCTTTCTTTTCGCCACTTTCCAATATATATACATACAGTGTGACCCATTTAGTTAAAAGGTGACACCATTTTTATTCTCGGCAACTCACACAAGTTCAAACTTGCTAGAGTTGCCGTCATTAGAGAAATGACACATAATCAACGAAGGTTATCATATGTTGAGCGAAATATTGAGCTTGATAATGTCCGGTAGTGACAGTAGTTTCTTCTAGATTTTTTCCATATCCAATTTTGAAAAATATCCTCTTCAATCCAATTCCCAAATAAACCTTTTCTATTACTTTTTTCAAATTCATTGACATTCAGAATGGATAAACTGTGATCTGCCTCGAAATATACGTAATAAATGACTTTTGAATGAATATTTGTAGTGAATGAACATACTGCATTCCAGAGTTGATACCTGTATTGATATGAGAGCAATAATGGTGGTCAGAAGTAGTGACTTGATCTAATCACTGATTTTGTTACAGCAACTCCAAAACCCATCCCAACAGTCATTATTGACGCTGCAAGGAAATCAAATGAACTGGATAGAATATTTGGAAGAAACTCAACGACAGCCGTACATAGTGATATATATCTGTTACCCACAATAGACATTTGCATTATGGAATTTCCCGAAAATTATACCCAGTTGGATCCTTTCATGAACTGGCAAGGCAGCGCTTGTAATTTAAAGAAGATATACGAACGCAACCAGAAGATTGCAGAAAAAGAGAGATTCGAACGACATTCCTCATTGGAGGGTTTTACAATTCCTTCTCTAAGACACATCAGACACCAAAGGCAACATCGTATCAATAAAATGAACGAGGAAGGGTTAAATAGAGAATTTGATCCTAGATCTCGTATTGTGGGCTCGAAATTGATATTCAGGAATGACGAAGTACAAAATATAACCAACAGTAATTTCAATTTTTCAGTGATCAATCGATAATTCATATGGTATCTAAAAATTGTAAATATAAAAAAAACATAAAAGACTGTTCCATAGCTTTCAATGAACAATTCTTCTATTTCTGAAACAGAATGGTTTACATATAGTGACTCTTTTCCATTAATTACGCGTTATTGAACAAATTTATTATAAACAGGGTCTCCCTAGAGTTGTCTATCATATTTGAGATCTGAAATATATTTTTCTATTGTAAAATTTCATTAGAAAAACAAATAGATTACCCACGTTCTGTTATAAAAATGTATCACCTATCCCGCTGCATTGAATATCGAGCTAATAAGTTTAGAATCATTGAGTGATCACCCTATTTTTGGAAATATCAAAAATTCTGAGGTGACAATTATAATACTTGTTGAACTCTTAAATATGCTATCTTTGTCTACTGTTTGCAACAATAATTCTTGGAATGAATCGGTTTTTATTATCTTAGAATTGAAAAGTTTGCATTTTATTCCAGACTTCTTTGATTCGTCTCGAACTTCAGATACCGCAATTCGCTCTTGTTGGATCTTTGCAGTCATTTTTTTTTTCTGGAAGACACGTTGACCCTCACTTATTTTACCAGGAAGTCAATTTTGTTACTTCTGTAAATGCTGAAGCGTTCTCAATGTCTATTCGCGATGTTCTTCTTTTCTTCGTCTTCCATGTTTTCCCAATTATTCTTTTCTTTTAATGTTTCTCTAACTGGGTAATTCTTTTGACAACATATCCTGGCCTGTCTTTTTTTGCAGATCCCTCGGTTTTTCTTTATGCATCTTCTCTTAAATACTCAAGTAGTTTCTCTATGAACCTCATTCTTGAAACACCTACAGAATGTTACTTGTTCGGACTTCCATTGTCTAATATATTTCGAAATCTAGGGAAGCACAAAAAGAATCGAAATCAATATCTGAAATATCAATTGTATATAAGCAATAAAATCTGAATTGAAAATACATTGAAATGAATAAAATAGTCATCACCCGAAGACGATTGTGGATACTAATAATCAAAAGGTCGTGAAGTAATTTGGGTTGAAATCTTCCAAAATTTTTTTTCATTTCATTTTTTGGTTTTTTATATATTTTTTTAGTTTTTGTTTATTTTTATATTTATTCTTTTCATTCATTTTTACTTTGTGGTCATTTTCATCTTTCATTTTGATTATTTTATTTCATTCATTTTATTGTAGTTTCATTTCACATTTTATTGGTTAGATAGGTAGGTAATTCATATTTCAGCTATTCATTCTAATTTTATTTGTTCTTTCATAAATTTTGAGTCATATTGGACAACGGAAGTCCTTATTATTAGTAAAATTCACCATGAACCATTGTCAATCACTTTCAAACAAATGATTCAGATGTTCTCTCATAAACATACAGAACACGAGAGTTTACTTCACTGACCGCCAGGGGCGGTTTGGTGACAGTATATTATTTTGTGTAAATTCTTTGCTGAGAAATGTCGTTGATAAGTTGGATACAATGAAAAAAATCACTGAATCTTTAGGAATATATGAAGTTTTTATGGAAACCATTGATGTTGACATTTGTTTGATGATTGCTTTGTACAGAGCAGTTCTCCAGAAAATTAGCATATGAGAAGTGATGAAATTGATTTATGTTTAGAATAATCTAACAGACTTTATTTTTATATTCATTACGAAAAAGTTTAGCAAGTAATTTGAAAGTTGTTTTTTATATAAAAGTATGTACCACTATTGAAACTAATTTCCATACTGAGGTTTACATATACTTCATTGGGTTTATATGCTGCCTAGAAATATAATCCTATCCCTTTCGCTTTTGACAGGTCAAGATGGTGTAAATATACTTTCCTAGTGCTGAGATAGTTATCAATTTGCCAAAATACTACAGAATTTATAATGATTTGAGTTTCTTTCAGTCTAATCAAAAAGCAACTCAGTTGCAATCGACCTCAGATATTACAATTGACTCTGTTCAACATACATATCGTAGAAATATTTATTCAATACCGTATTCAATCTCATGTTCTGCAAAATTTTACTCTTGAAACATATCTTGAAATAAAGTGAAATGGAATTCACCTTTTTGGCATTTTATAAATTAGTGCGATTTGAAAAATATTAGGAGGACATGAATTGAACTCTTGTATTGTTTAAAATGAAAAGTGTTCTAAGTTTATGAAGGTACTTGATGTCTTCAAATACATAGACGAAGGTTATCATAATAATGTATTTTTTCAAACCACTACTGTACATATTGTATATTGAGTATTATTTTAAATAGATTTTTTCGACAGTTTAGTTTATTACTTAAATATAGAACCTCATTTATATACAGAGTTATTCAGTGTAAAAGACAAAGTTTATCTATACTGAATACTCAAATTTTTATTTAGAACTATTCAAGGTGATCAATCTCACGGTACATTATCTGCATGTAACTCCAACTGTATAAGCAGCTCATGTCAAGGGAGCTCTCAGGGAGCAAGAATTTCTCCGATTCACAAAATACTCATCGTTATATTACGACCAAAATCATATAAAACCTTTGTTAATTGCAGCCTATATGCGATTCTGATGTATGAGCTGTATTTATGTAAAAGTTTCATCTAAATTCTTACAGTCGTTTAGTCGTTAAAGAGCCACAAACATACATATAGATTTATATTAGTATAGATAGATAGGTAGACAAATACATAGATTAAGTCCATCATTACATTTTTTCAGTTTGAATATTCCGATCACAAAATGTATGACTGAAAATGTAGACAAACGCTTTTTCATTCCTCCTACAAAGTGCATAAATTTCAACATTTTATATTGCGAATATTACTGAAGAACAAGTCATCACTGATATGCTTGCTGAATGATTTGATTCTCGACTTTTATTTTCAATACTTAATTTCTAGGTAAAAATGATGAAAAATCTGTACAATTTTTTCAATTGGAAATAATAAAGACCATTATTATTATCAATTGGCTTTCGGAAACAAAGATCAACAGGCGATCTCCTATCTTATGTCGCCCATATTTGGAATAACGCAATCCATAAACATAGAGAGTCAAGAGCTGTTGCGCTTGCTATTTCTAAGGCCTTTGACCGTGTGTGGCATAAGGGTTTGCTGGCCAAACTTCAATGGCTTGTCGGATCATTTTTGGGTATGGCTATCCAGCTTCCTAAAAGAACGTTTCCTGCCGTCGATTGATATCTCTCGTATACTTTTACCATCAACGCTGGCATTTCCCAGGAATCCATATTGTCTCCAACCCTCTTTTTATTGTATATCAATAGGAATCACACGTTAAAAGGTGAGACCTCGTTAATCCTTAGCTCGCACAAGTTTCGACTTCTGAGGGTTGTTGTTCGTAGGGGTGCGACAGCTGGTTAACGGAAAAAACAGATTTTAAACAGAAACAGATCAACGACTTATTGCAACTACATTTCATTTGGACTCCAGGACATCGGCTGCGGAACACACATTTTCATCGGCAGCAGGAGGTTGCATATCTTAATGAGGATCTAGATGTGATTTCGAATTTGGATGAAACTAACCAGGTTCAATTCAATGCCACAAAAACCCAGGACTCGGTTTTTTACAAAAAGATAAATGTCTCCGAACCGAAGATAATAATGTTAGGACAGACAATTCCGCTTTTTGCTTCGATACATTGTTGGAGGTCAAAATGGACAATATGTCTCCTCATAATCATGTCGCTGGAATTGCAAAGGCTGCTTCTCAGTACGGAGCTCCGCCCCTGAGCATACCCTGAAGCTGCTGGATTCCACCCAGAAAAAAGCCATCCGCCTAATTGGATACGCGAACGCGAACATTACTTGCAATTTTGATAGTCTGGAACATCGAAGAAAGATTGGTGATTTGTCACTCTTCTATAGATACTTTCACGGGAAGTGTTCAAGTGACTTGGCACATTTGATTCCACCGGGAGCGGTACACATCAGACATACGCGACGGACTGTGGCTGCTTATCGTTTTTAGGTTCAACTCAGTACACCTCGAACTTCACTGTTCAAGAACTCTTTCATTTGTAGAATTGCGTTTATGTGGAATAAAAGCCCTGAAAACGTTTTTCCAAATAGATTTAATCTCCAGCGATTCAAATCCAAATTGAATCGCTACTTTCGCACAGGCACCGCTCTTAGAGCGCCTGTAGTGTTTGTGTTTTGTCCTTGAAAAAAAAGTTGTTTCTAAACGGTTTTATTCAGCTTGCCCTGCTTGTTTGTTTGGGTCAAATTTAGTAATTTAAGTTTGACCTCCTTTCTGTTTGAAATATGTCTGTTTAAAATCTGTTTTTCCGTTAACCAGCTGTCGCAACCCCTACGAAAGAAAAGCCTCAGAAGTCGAAACTTGTACAAGCTAAGTATTAATGAGGTCTTACCTTTTAACGTGTGATTGCTAACAGGGGTTGGATGATAGCAAGTGAAAATCGATCGTTCAGACTGGAGCTTGAACCACCGACCAACACGGCAGTCAATTCGAGTGAGTGAACAAAGCACCCACGTCGAACCGTCTGGCTACCGACTACCTTTTATGCTACCTGAATGAAATCGTAGAATAGTTTGATGTACCAGTTCAACTGATGAAACTATATACCGTGTAGTGTAACGCGTCTTGAATAAAATTTAAAGTGTAAAAAATGTATTATTATTATCATGGATAGTGTTATTGATTTACATCAAGTAGGTAATGGATCAGTATAATCATAACAAGAAATATTACATGAAAAATGAAAAGGAGATGTCTTAAACTCTCTATCTCATATTGAATGGTTATATTTTTCACTTTTTTTCGAGTTTGTGGAACTATCGTCTTTCCCGAGCAAGGAAAATTGTAAAAATTCAAATCTCATACTGGGAGAATGTAGAAAATGAAGATAGAAAAAGTTATACGCCTTGGTATTAACCTCTTCAAAATGATTCGAAATGTATTCTTTAGAATTATCATTTACTCCAAATTTTTTTCAGAATCAACAAACTTAGGCGTGCGCAGCGTTATAGAGCAGTGCTTTCAAAAAATTGCTCTACAGCGCCGTCTAGTGGCGAGTT